ATAGGCGTGATCTTCTTGCTATTATATTGGGCATATACAAGAAGGTAAAATATTTATGAAATCTTTTATTATACTTCAGGGATTTTTGAAAACTAAGCTTCATTTTCACCATGAGGAATAAAATATGGTATAACTTTTGAAATGAAATAATATCTACTCAAATATTTTAGAAACAAAAATTCATAGAAAATCTTGATTAAATTGCTCCATGAATTTATTTGTCAGATGTTACAAACTGAAATCTCATAGGGTGGATTCTACAGGGAAACATGGCTCACAAGATGTTTAAATTATATTTTTTGCTGCCAACATTTATTTATTTATTGGAGACAGTCTCATTTTGTCACCCTCAGTAGAGTGCCATGGTGTCATAGCTCACAGCAACCTCAGACTCCTGGGCTCAAGTGATTCTTCTGCCTCAGTCTCTTGAGCAGCTGGGACTACAGGTGCCTCCCTCAATACCTGAGGCGAGGTCTTGCTCTAGTTCAGGCTGCTCTTGAACTTGTGAGCTCAGGCGATCAGCCCCCACTCAACCTCCCAGAGTGCTAGGTTTACAGGCATGAACCACCATGCCTGGTTCATGCTGCCAACATTGAAAAATAAAATTTTAAACTTCTCTTGAAAAAGACTTGGTTTATACTTGGCTCACATTCTTTCATGGCAGTAATCAGCTACAGCTGAGCCATGGCTGTCTTCTACAAATAGATTATCCATTCTTCTGTTTGCCTTAATCTATACTATTCGACTGGAAAAAAAAAAAAAGACAGGGATTTTGCATCCTTTGTTGAAACTTGGATAGATTTGGAGAACGTTCTTCTGAGTTAAGTGTCACAAGAATGGAACGATAGGCATCAGATGTACTCAGTACTCATGTTGTACATTAATAATATGTTTGCATGAAGGAAAAACTCAGTAGAATCCAAGGAGAGTGAAGGGGGCAGGTGTTGGTTGGTTCCTTCCCAGTGGAAACAATGTGTGGCACACTCCTTGTGTAAAAGACATAGCTACAATGTAGACTTTGCCTTCCAAATGTAAGCAACGTGGCCTAATTGTATGTACTCTCATCAGACATTTTAAAGAAGAGGAAGTGAAGACACCAGTTAGAAGACCATTGCCAGGGATGGTAGCACCTAGGATTAGAATGATGTCAGTAGAGATGGGGAGGAGTGGACAGTCAACTTCTTTTTAGGAAATAATTTCTTCTACACTTGGTGATAACGCATAGAAAGGAAGGCAGGAGAAGGTTGGTTTTTGTTTTTTTTTAATAAAGATTTCTAGTTTTCTAGATTGAGCAACTCACATTTACTCAGATGAACTTTGAAGAAAGGAGCAGATTTGGGGAAAATGGTCAAAACATCTGCTTTGGACATGTTGAAATCGAGATTCCTATTATAGATTTACTTAGAGGGCACCACATGATTAAGGTAGCATTTAATAGTGCTTTACATCATAAGAGGGCAGTGGCTAAGGCGTCCTTGCCAATGGAGAAAAAACACTTGCAGAACGACAATGCAGGTAACTAGATTCTGTGTATTTTGTGGCCTTTTGGTCCCTCTTCTTTCTAAATGGGAATATTGTCTGTTATCCATTTTTCTGCTTTGTTATGCAAACTCTTCTTCTTGCTATTATTATTTTTTTAATTACATGAACATTCCAGATCTTTAGTTTTAGAGTTCTGGCGCACTAAGGTTAATTTTTGTGCCATTCCAAGCATAAATCTACATTTGCACAGGTCCAGAAAAATAAGCACACATACAATCACCTCCACTGAGGTTGATTCTCTCGTTCATCTATGCTCCTCTCAAAGACTTGCTTTTCAGTTGTTTCTGAACCTAACATGGTTACTTCTCTTGGGGAAGGAAAGTGATGGTGCAGAGTACTTATGCCACTGTTACAGTGTACTCTGTACACATAGATATTGGCTCATACTTTGTTAGTCAATGAGAAGAGAGCTCAGTCTGATTCCCTTGAGGAGCTCCAGCGTTGAGAGATTTGTTAGAAGTAGGTTGAGAAGGATTTTCCAGTGAGGCAGATTAAGAAAATGTCATGTCATGGACGATGAGAAGAGCCCAGTATAATCTGTAGCTTTTACGTCGGAGGCTCTTTATTATCCTTGCAGTCTGTCTTGAAGACCCTTTCATTGCTTAGTTATATTTATTTGCATTGTCCTGATGAGTCCAGCACTTACCCAGCTTAAGAGATAAATGAGGTA